AGTTCAAAGCGACGTGTCGCTATTTTCCTTTATAACCAAAAAAAAAAAAAAAAAAGAGAGAGAGAGAAAGCATCGTTCACCGAGAATTCCCTTTCGACCTCGTTCGTAGCGAGAATTGAACTATTTCTCTTCCCTTTGCTTTTCTTTTTTCTTTTTGTTTTTTTTTCCTCCCCTTTTTTCACACCGGTCGTTTAATCCGTCCAAAATTCGCCTGGAATTTCGCGGCCTGCGAGTGAATCCGCGGGACGGGTCAACTGCGTGGCGTACAAAGGTTAAAGGATCGTTGATCAGTCACCTCTGCAAACGGACAGGCCAAATGACCGCTAACGAAGTAACGAGATCACGTGCGCTTCTCTCTGCGATATGCGCGCACGTGATTCGACGAAACTCGGCGAATTTTCTCCGGGGGATTTACACGTTGGATGTTCGAGCAAACCGAAGTTGCCGGTCTTCCATTACGTAGAATACGTAGTATGCAGTAATTTCAAACGAGCGATTCTCCACCCGTAAAGTAAAATGTTCGTAATTTCACTTCGCTGCTTCCGGTGTACAAGGTAAGCAGGGATTTCCGGCCGGAGAAGCTTGAATATTTTTCTAAAATGTAGATTATTTGCTTGTAAGTAAATATCTTGTAACCCCAGTCCCTGCGGGTGTTCGACAATTTTGAATCTGATGGACGGTGCTGATTTGATTTCGAAGCGTTCAAAAGTTTCTTATCAAACTATGAGAAAAAATTAATTTTACAAATTTCACGTTAAATTTAAGTTCAGACATGATTTCTCCACTGTACACTTTGAGAATTATTTCTTTCGAACGTTGACCGCCAGGACGTTCGCAAATTTTTATATTTCTCTTCAACAGCAAGTGATTTCTCGCCCATCAACTGCGCTCAAATTCGATTTTCTCGAGGACGAAAGTTTCCATGAAAGAATTTCATTCTTTCTTTCCTGTTTTCATTAGGATCACTTCCTACTCTGTGTTACCCAGAAAACTGTACGACAAAAACCTGTTCAAAGAGAAACTGTCGTTTCAAACTTCTCAGCGGGGATCTATCGAGCCTGTGATACAAGGTGATCCATGTAATCGAGGCCACTCAACACGTTCCGTGCCAAGCCATTTTTGCCTTTTGTTGTCGTTCAATCTTTCATTACATCATCAATCGATAAGTAGTTCTCTTATTTAGAGTAGC